CGTTGTTAGGATCATATTACAACGGAAGATATTAATTTTAATTTGTTTGACTTGAAAGAATTATATTTTTGATCGCAAATACCATAAGAAGAAGCGAGAAATTTGTGTTTAATCATCTCCTCAAGCGAGTGTTTATGAATTTGCAAAGGTGTTTAAACTTTAGTGAAATTAAAGTTAAAGCTTAATAATAAATAAACAAGCAAGAAAATTGTATTCGCCTGTGGTCGAATCTTTTGTACTCTATCACTTTTATATTAAAATAAAAGAAACAAACATTTGCAGCCGCAGTTTATGAGTAGCGAGCAATATAATCACTTTACGCCTATATTTTGGGCATGTCCTAGAACCGATTTAGCCCGCTTTTGCGCTAGGGAACTGCTATTGTTTCCGCCATTTTTCTTGCCGGGAGAATATTTACGGACGGACAGACAGATGTGCTTAAAACGTTTCAAAATTTGATACGGGATCAAGAATGTATATACTTTGTGGGATCTCTGAAGCTTTTTTGTGGCTACTTTCAACGTTTCGACAAAGGTAATACACTGCCCATCCATTGGTAATGGGTATAAAAATCAATAACACTGTTCATCTTTTATGAACACATTTTTATTTGTTCGAAGAGCACAGAGTAATGAAAAAAGACCTTCAATTCAATCATAAAATTAATAATAGCTAGTAACAGTTTTTTTTTTTTTCGCTCTGTTTTATCATCCATCTGAACTCGTTCGCTTGTATTATTCATGATGTTTGCCTTAAGAGACGATATAAAGAGACTCATAGATATTTATTGCTTAGGAATGATTGAAAATTCTTCAATACCACGCGAAAGAGAATAATAAAAAATAAGTTTCAAGTTTTAAATGCGAATTTTGAATTGTGTTTTAAATTGTTTTTACACAAATTACAAAAAGAGAGACAAAAAAAAAATTATTAATAGTTTTTAAGAAAAATTTTATAAATGTTTTGAATGATTGCTTAAGGCAATGAGATTTTCATCTCATAGTGGCCTATGCCGCACTACATCATGATTACTGAGGCACTTGCATTAGAAAAACCTCAGTAATTTGTTTTTATAGACATTTTAATTTTATAATCGAAGTAATTTGCGCAGTTTTATAATAATTATTTATTATATCTGTTTATTCGTGTGTTTAAGAAATTCTGTTAAACCATAAAATTAAATATATATATGTATAATTAAACCAACAAATTATTGGCTAAAGATTAAGTGAAAATTTTATAAACAAAAAGAAAAAAATAGAAATGAATAGAAACTGAATGAGAGAAAAGAGTCTAGCATGGAGTTGTTCGGGAGTTGTGGTATGCGTCTAAAGAACGACGAGTCATAGTAGCGTCTCACACGGCATATGGATAACTGCGTAGTTCATGCATGTCTGGGTCCTTTGTCATATGCGGCCGACAGCCTCTAGGCAAGATCTAGGATCAACCCCAACCTATGCGAACTATACTCTAATCTTAAAGCTTACGTGCGACGTACGCTAAGAGTATCAACGAGGTTGCACTTGATAGGAAAACAAATCATAGACTTGGCATAAATTTTTTTAAATTCTGTCATAAGGCCGGTGACTCGATGATATATTTGGAGAGAAAATGAAACAAATGGTGTCCAACCGATTTTCCTAGAAAAAAGCAGAAATCTTTTCTGAACACATTCGCTTTATTATATACAGCAAGAACAATGAGGAAGCCGGGCTGAACAAACTCGCTTTTAGGCCTTCGGAACGTTGTATGCATCCGCGCAAATTTAATATACCCTTGAAACACAAATGGTGTAAAGTAACATGAATCAAATGTCATTAGCGAATCAATAAATCACTGGACGGTTTATTTGGACCAAATGTTAGCTGTAAATAGCAATATGTAACTGTACGTACTACTGTGTTGAGATGAAAAATCTACTGTCGTCGAGAATTTTCATTTCCTTTCTCTTCGTGCAAAGAAACACTTATATACTTGTCAGGATCATCGGTTCTAACAGAACCTTTACAGAATTGTTGTGGCATCAGTAGTTTATTTTCAGGTTCGAATGGATTTCGCGATGCTTTATGCAATTTCTAAAGCATTTTGATAGTCTTTGCTTGAATCAACTAAGCCAGTCTTTTTTCCCATCATCCCCAAATTGATCTACGTGCTTCAAGGATCTGTACGCGGGCAATGTTTAATGTATTCTTCACGGGAAGTGACATAAACTTGTTGATTTATCAGTTTATTGGAGGTGTGGCCGGTATCGAGTACATTCTGTATAGCTATCGAAAATATGTATTTCTCCTACGAAAAGCTATCGACCGGCCCTTGTGTGTGACTTGACTTTTACATTGTTATCGTGTCAAACGTATATCTTACGTATCAATAAATAGTGAGCGTGTAATAATGTACTCAAAGTGCTTATGGAGCGAAAAATAATCAAACTTTGCAAAAAGCAAAAGCAGATATCGATTCGAAGTTTATCATAGACATTTATTAAAGTCGTAGAGAAATTCATTGCGTTTGCATTTCAATTATAATCATAAATTTTGCATCAATACACAGAACTAGCTTGGACGTGACCGCATGGAACCTTCCTTTATAGAACCTTATTAAATATTTCTATAAATTTATTGCTTTCCAAAAAAAAAATGTTTATCAAAATTGTATTTTATTTGCATTTATTTACCAAATTGTAGCCTCATAATATTTACAGGGTTCACTGAACATTCCGCTAAGCCAAACACAAGTACTCGTTCGCATAATGAAGGGAAATGAAGCTCATATTTTTTTTACTTTTTTTCGATAAATTTTTATATTTTTCAATATATATGTGCATATATATGTATATGTAAACAGATGTGGCTATGGCGGTTGCAATGCTAACGATTTTATAATGAAAATGCGCGGTAAAAGTCATAAACATTAATTAATTGAAAAATTGCTGGATGAATGGGGATCTAACTACTACTATGCTATGCTGCCATAAAGTGAAAACCTATCATGATCTCGATAAAAAGTTATTCTTTAATTCTTTTTTTTTTTTTTTTTTTTTTTTTTTTTTGTTTTATTCTTGTTTTTCGGAAATGAATTAAACAGAAAAAAAAAAAAATTTTTCATTAATAACAGATTGTATATAATGGTTATTGATATTGATTTTATTTACGTTGGTCTATAGCTATTTCAGCTGACGCACAGTTGCTTTAATTCAATTAAAAAATTTTATTCATACAATATGTGGGCGATTGTAAGCTTAAATTAAGCGTTTTTTGTGCATTCGTCAACTAAGCAAAAATTTTTATTTTTTTAATCGTTGTTTATTCCTACGAGTGAAAAAATATTTAAACAAAAAAAAAAAAACAAAAAAAAAACTGTACACTTACCTCGTACCTATCAATAGCGAAACTGCTTGCAATAAGAGTATATAAATAGTATAAAAATGAAAATGTAATTTAAAATCCTCCTATATAATGCGATTAAGCGTTTCTGTTTTTTCTGATTCGCTAACATTTTTCCCCATTTTCTTCTTTCTATCAAGTTTTTTTTTTTTTTTTTTTTAATTTAATTTAGTTTTATTTTTATTTTTATTTTTTTGTTTTAATATTGAAATCCCTTCGGACAGTATTAATAGGTTGACGAATACGTGTATATGATATGTTAGTGTGAAGAGTGAAAAAAAATGTTGAAAAATAACATACGATAACAAAACTTATTGATTTTTATTTTTCTAGCTTAATTTACACATTTATATATGGAAAGTGCATGTGTGGTTGTGTATATATATTTATACGTAACGTCCGTTATATATTTACGTAATTTGAAGCATTTTCCAATACCGTTTGAATGAACAATATTGGATGGCTGTGTACACAGAGGTGTAACAGTTAATAATGCGCATTTTATTATCAAAGGATCCTTACAAAGGTATGCATATATGAAACCGAAATTCTTGTATAAAAAGCACAAGTACCTTCTCCGAAAAGGATAAAAAATACTTTAGTCAAATTTTTGCTATACATATTTCCCACCTATATGACGATTTGTGGAAGCCATGCCTTTAAAAAGCTTCCCCTATTGCCGCGAACCATTCACTCAGACTTTATTATCATAAGGGACTGATGAGCAAGATGCAAGGATGCGTGGTAACGGAAAACTTTAGCACGCTCACTAAAGGCTCCGCAGCCTTCCTACTTTCTAATAGCAATTTACGTTTTCAGCGAACATTTCTTGCGGAATGTTCTTAGCATTTCGGACATTGAAGTTATGTTCTCTTTCACTTATTAGTTTGGTGGTTGTATTGCACTCCATTGATTTGTCGCTTCAGTTGTAGTGTGATCTTGTGATCCCAAAGCGGTTAGTACGATTCTAAACGACGTAAAATTCTCAAACGATTTCGTCAAGTGCGCTCGTTTTCCTGTCCGTCAGCTGCCATTAGCAAGCCTGCTTACAAAATTCGGGCACTAAACTAAATCTTAGTACTCACTAAGTTAGTTAGTTTGTTAGTTCTAAGTTTCAGCTTCAAAGAGAGACGCGAAGCTATTTGCACAAATTGCAATATATTTAAAAAACTTCAGGAGATATAATTTTTCCCTTACAACTTAGTAAAACCTTGTTGACTGCTAACTGTCAATAAGTTTAAAAATTATTAATTAAATAAGATAACATAAGATTTAAAGGATAGCATTAACTTAAAGTATTAAAGTTTTATTGTAAGCAACTTTAAAGTTTGAAAACCATTGATAAATTGTTTATTGATCATCTTCAATTGTCTGTTTTCTGTTTTATTTGCGGCTCTTCACACAAAACAAATAGAATAACTTTTTTTATATTGATGGCATGATTTGAGAGTAGAATTGTTAGTAATTACACCGAGCGTTTGCTAGCACAACTAAAAAACACTTTTTTGCAACGAATCATATCAAGCTTAGTCGTCACTTCAAATTTTCTATTATTTCTTATTCTTCTTCCTCTTTCATCTTAAAAATCTAAAAGAAATTTGTTCCGGCCCAATTGCCTACTGTATGGTCTAGTGGTCAAGACGTCCGGCACGTATCCGGAAGACCCAGGTTCGATTCCTAGTGCGGTAGGTCCCGGCCATAAATTATAATTCACCAATTTTTTGTGGCTTTGCGGGCGACATTTTCTGCAAAGGCTATTAAAAATTTTTTTTACTCATTGGTACACTAGTTGCTTCGAAGCTGCTAGAATATAAAGAAGAAAATTAAAAAAATTGAAAAAAATTTTTTCCTAAAAATTTCTACCTCTTATCCAAACGCAACGAAAAGACGAACTGCATTCAATTACTCCCAACGATAACCGAATGTCTTACTTGTTGCTTTCTCATTTCTCCATAACGTTAACCGATATCTGCAGAAAGAGTTAATGTTAATTTAAAAGCGTTTCCCGATAAACATTCGGCAGATTAAGATGATCATTAAATAGAAATGAAACTGGGAATGATTCGAAAGGAAATAGTTCTTCTGCTACGAAGTGTTAAAGTGCATGACGAATAACTTGATGCTAATTATGCGTTTGGTTGTAAAATTCTAAATTTGTTTTCGGTTTCTCCATCAATGCAGGTAAATTCGGCGAAAACAGGCGTGTTCTCGCAAGGAGTCTTCGAAGAAAGGGAACGATTTTTCATTACAATCTTTTTCAGAACATTATGTCATTTGAGAAAGACTTGTTTTGTTTGTTTCGACCCGAAATTCATGTCTCGGCGAAAAAATCGAATTGGCTCATACAAGTTTGAGCGCCATGAAGCCGTTACCTTCGCCGTGGTGTAATACTAATGTAACAAGTTTGATTGTGAAGATCTTTTCAAATCAATTTTTGCAAATTTTCAAACTCGACTGTGAAATTGAGAGGACTTTACGCATTAGTTCTATCCAGCATTTATAAAATATTGCAATTATTTTCTCTTCTTCTTCCATTGCAAAATTATGCAAGGGATTTGTTCAACTTTAAGCGTCTGCCGTGTGGTGCAGTAGTTAAGACGTCCGGCATCCGTAAGGCGCAGGTTCGATTCCTACTGCGGCAGACCGACCATAAATTGTACTTTACTGCCTATGTTGGCAGCTGATTTATAATGAAAGTTTTAGAAGAGCTATTTTCAGCTGCATCTAATCTTCTATAATATGAGAAAAATTTGAAAAAAATTTTTTCGTGCAAATTTTGAACTCTTACTCAAACGCTACGAAGCAACGAACTGCTTTCAATTATAACTCCAAGTGGGAAGGGACAATGTAATGTGTAATCTGCCGATGTCTACAGAAGAATTTATGTTAATTTAAAACCGTTTTCCGATAAAGATACGGCAGTGTGTAAATTCATTGAGATGGATTATTAAATAGAAATGAATTGAGAGCGAGAGAGAATTTAGAGATTGGAGAGGAAATTTTAACGTGCACGATAAATATCGAGATGTTAATTACGAATTTGACCGAAGAATTACAAATAGTGTTATCGTTTCCTCTGTCATTTCGAGTAAATTCAGCATTATTTGCGCAAAGAATCTTCGGGGAAAGAGTGGATGATGAAGAATTTCTGGATGGCTTGGAAGAGCAATAACGAACTAATTCATACTATTAATCGTTACACCCAATGCAGTCACAAATATATATTTTTATATGTATATATGTATATTGCGATATATATCTATACAAACATATATATATTCTTATATGTGTGTATGTAATTCGTATATGTTTTAAATACATTTTTAATGCAGTGCATATAAAAAAATAAATAAGCAAATAAAGAAAAAGATAATGTAATTTAATCCCAGTTTATACACTATAATTGTACATATGCCATGTGTTCATTTGCTTGTGCATGTATTTACTTAGTTACATAAACGGCTGTGAACTTTTACATAGAAAACAATTTTTTATACACACACACATATATATATATATATGTATATATGTATTACGATTAAACAAACAATTATTCGAGGCCATTATACTTACGTCCATCTAGTGGGTCTGTAGTTTTCCTGTGCTTTTTATTTCTATTTCTATTTTTTTTTTTTTTATATATATATATATAATTCTATTAAAATACAATTATGGATGCATGCATTGGATGTATTGGATTTAATCGAAGCCTTAAATATGCAATTGTATTGAAATAAAATATTACGCGAACTTCTACAGAGCTTTTTATTTAAATGAGCAAACTGCTCTTGAACAAATTTTTATTCGTTAAAAAAGTGAAAATATTCAAGTGATAGCTAAGCATCAGTTGCATCAGCTTTCCTGCGTGAAAATCGAGATAATATGAAACCGATTGCTTCAAAGGTCATCCTTTGGAGTGCACAAAGAAATTTTGGTTAATTATTTACCTATGAAACGAGTTTTACAATTAATGTACTCTTAAAGAAAATGTACTGTAAATACACTTTCTCTTAATAAACGAATGTATAGAAATTTATAAGAATAGTTCTAAATACTGTTTGAAAAACAATTGTAATTGGATTAATAACGGCACTCCGTTATCATCCGCATTCATAGAAGTTCCCATAGAAAACCTTATATGTTTCATATGTTTTAATTAAGCTTCTTTTGTCCCCCGATGACATTTGAGCTGTAAAAGCAAGCAAGTCTGATGATACGGAGAACAAGACTGCTTAGTAAACACTTTCCTTACAATAAGAGATTTAAAGGAAATTATTAATAAACATTTTCGGAATGCTTTTCTTTATATCGTTTTCAGCAAAGTTGCACATCTTTTCAGTTATGGCATTTTCCATATATTCTGTTAAATGCTTCGCATATTCGAAAAGTTAGTTTAATTAGTTTATATAGAACAGCTGCTAATTTTGCTTTTTCTCTGCAATTCTTCCTATGCCGAACACAACAATGGATCTTGACATTCATAGGTGTTCGAAATATGGCAATGAAGAAGCAATCAAGGCAAAGTACCTAATCCTTTTAATACCACTAGTCACATATTTTAGTATTTTCAATCATTTAACAGGGATTTGCTCTTGTATTGCCTGGTGTACTACCACCTATTCTGCTACAGCGCTAGCCGCCTTTAACCTTTCACTAACGATCGCTAGGAAGTCGCAGATCGTCAAGGAAGTCATTGATGTCAGAGTGACCACCTGATACCTAATACAATCAAGGAGAGTTGAATCGTTACCTTTGTGAGAATCAGAGTTCCCGGGGTCTTCGTAGTCCCACACTTAGTCTTAGTTTGTTTTCTTTATATACTTTGCTTTACCATCATTAGTTTACTTTTATATAACATTATCTTACGCCTTTCGTATATATGTATCCCTTATTATTAGTATTAATCTCGTAACGTGGGTGCCTATATTATACCCCTATATACATTACTCTATTTTTATATATATATATCAATTTGTTTACTCTCTCGGTCTCTGTAAATATACTTAGGTTAATAAATTACCAAGTTAATTGTGAATCTACAGATGGCCAGAGTGGTTATCAAATCTGAAAAGCGTATCAGCTGTGAGTATCAGTCGATGGGAAACGCTAAGCAAATCAATTAAGTTTAGAATAAACATCAAGCATAATTCCTCTTTCTCTCTAATTGAAGCCGTCGTGCTGGTTGGAGGTGTGTTTGGTAATCCGAAAGTATCCGCGTAAAGAATAAACATGAGGAGCCGTTTACGGCAGGGATTAATTGAAGACGAGGAGACCGAAATGTTCAACTGATACTCTAGACTGGAAAGCAGGACAAAGTTAAGGAGAACCTATAGTTATTCTCTAGAAAGTTGCACAAACTTATTGAACGTTTGTCCCTTATGTGTCATTGGGATTTACGTATTTAATCTTAGATCTCCTTTAGTTAATAAGACCGATTATGAATTTAATAAAGGTCATGGTTTTATACAGTTTTATGAATGCAATACACGCGTTTTGATAATTTATTGGATTAAAATAAAATCGGAAAGTAAGTTATATACTATTTCAACCAAATTTTGACTGCCTGGATGCCCCGACGAGTTAACCCCAGCACATAGCAACAAAAAAAAGCAAATTCCCACAATAGAGGAATTGTCCGTAATTTAAGTTTTAATTCAAGTTTTATATGTATTAACAAATCGACTTCAACAAATCGACTTCAACATCCAGCTAAGTTGAATATCCAGCCACTTTTTGTGTAGCGCATGAAGTCTGTAATAATCCTCTCTGTGTGTCTGAATATCGAACTAGTGACGTTATTATTTTCAGGGCTATTCTTAAGTGCCTCTTAAAGAGGATCAGTGTTTGGAAATTTTTGTGCCACGAACACGCCACGGATGATTACATCTAAAGTAAGTACACATGCTTCACCCTAGTAGTAATAAACGGGCGGACGAAGCCTACTTACTCAACGGACAGATCGTAGACCTTGGTACTCTAGTTTGTCTATGGCATCCTTTGGGCCATGATTTCTGTTAGGAGACCTCGACGATGTTATAAAGTGGTCGTAAAATTTCTACGTTTTTTGCAATTGTTGTCCGATAAAGTATCTCCGGGCAAATAACTATACACAGGCAGCTCTGACTTTCTTGGCAATTTGGTATTATGTAGAATCTTAGCTGACGTATAGGTGGTTAATAACATGTCCTACGGCACGTAGAATCCATTTCTTACAATTTACGTTATAGCAAACTACTGCGAATAAAATTTATTATTAGTTACCGATTTTTACACTGCAGCCTAAGGATTAACATATATGTTTCTACATTTTCCTAAAATGATTATTAAAAAGTATCCTTTTTCAAACGTCTTAATCGTTAATTAATTAATTAATTAATTTTTGAAAATGTATAAATTTTTTCCTCTCTTTTTAAAGACAATTGATTTAAACGACATTAACGTGTAGAAAATTAAATGTAGCATAACCGAATGGAACATTAAGCGGTAACAATCATAAATTTAAACAAGGAAATAATGAAAAGACGACAACAGTCAAATAAATCGTAACTAAATATTTGAAAATACTTGAAGCATAATAATTGTCATGATAAGAATGACACATTAATGAATAAATTATGGGAAAATGAAAATAAATCAATAAAGTGAAATAATTTAAGGGAGAAAAATCGGAAAAATGCAAAATCAAACAA